TATCATCACTTTGTAAATAAGCTTCTTTACATCCCCACTTACGAGGGTGGTCCGATAAGTACTTAGACTACAAAAGAAAAACGAAAATTTTGGAAAAGTTGCGTTTTATTTTTCAACATAGTCTCTTTTTAGTTCGATACACTTGGCCCAGCGATGCTCCAACTTCTTTAACCCGTCTGAAAAATACGTTTCCTCGAGGTCTGAAAAGTACGCTCCCGTGTCAGCGATTACCTCCCCATTCGACTCAAATTTCTGCCCGGCGAGTGACTTTTTCAAGTTTGGAAAAAAAACGAAGTCGCACGGGGCTAAATCTGGAGAATACGGTGGGTGGGGCAGCAGTTCGTTGCCTAATTCGACCAATTTGGCCATGGCGACGGCGGAGGTGTGAGCTGGTGCGTTGTCATGGTGGAAGAGCACTTTTTTCTTCGCCAAATGGGGCCGTTTTTTCTGCAATTCGACGTCGAATCGGCCCAATAATTCGGCATAGTACAGCTCTGTGACCGTTTTGCCCCTCTTCAGGTAGTCAATGTAGATCACACCTTGTGAATCCCAGAAAACGGTGGCCATCACCTTTCCGACCGATGGGGCAGTCTTCACCTTCTTCGGAGCACTTTCGCCGGGTAAAGTCAACTGTTATACCTTATACTGCGTATACCAGTGGATCGATGTTTCGTCGACTGTCACGAAACGACGCAGAAACTCCTTAGGATTGCGCTTAAACAGCGTCAGACATTGCTCTGAAGTTGCCTCACGGTTGCGCTTGTTGTCCGGAGTGAGCAAACGCAGCATCCATCGCGCCGACAGCTTTCTAATGCCCAAAATTTCATGCAGGACATGACCCACGCGGTCTTTTGAGATGCCTACGATCTTAGCTATCTCGCGCACCTTCAATCGTAGATCTGCCAATACGAGATCGTGAATTTTTGTCACGTTATCCTCCGTGGTAGCCGTTTTCAGAGCACCTGGACGTGGCTCTTCAAAAATCGATATACGACCACGTTGAAACTCGTTAAACCAATTTTTGACGGTCGACATCGAAGGAAAAGAGTCACCGTACACAGCATCCAAGCGCTTTTTGATTTCGCTGCGCGATTTCCCTTCCAAAAACAAGAATCGAATCACCGACCGATACTGCTCTTTTTCCATTTTTCAAAAATCAACGGACACACTTGCTTTCACACGCTCTCAAAAATAAACTACAACTCCGATCCGGCTGAAATCTTGACAGTAACCATCGAAAAGGTTGTACTACGTGATAGAATATTTCTTTTGCAGGAGTGGCGCCATCGGGCGGTGAGGCTAAATACTTATCGGACCACCCTCGTATTTGATTCTATTGAACGATGCAATCATGCAAAATAAGACAATGTACTATATAGTTTGTAACGGGGTGGATTAGCTGGCACAAAATGGGTTTATTAAAGAACAAACTCCCACGACGCAGAGTTAACCGCCGCTCCGATAAACACGTATGAGTATACGAGTATTCGCCTTTACGTTTGATACTTTCGTTCCGATATCTTCTTTTCAACAGAATTGAAATCACCTTAAGTCACCTGACTTGTGACACTCGATCTATCTTAGGTGTGAATGATTTAATGTTTATTCCAACTAATCCCCTAGATGAAATCGGTTTAAAATTTAACCGGTGACGGATACGTTAAACTAAAAGAAAACAAAATAACGTAATGCGGCGAATAAAACCAAAATCGTTTATGACTAGAAAACTACAGTTTTCGATGGGCCGAAAGACTCACGCACGCGAATATGATTTAAAATATGTAACAATAATACACGGAGAGAGAGAGAGAATTTAAAATTCGACCGCGAAAACTAATGCTCGACGCGAATACAAAACTAGTTGCGATAGACAAAATACTATCGTAAGTATTTGTAAAGCAGAAAAATGGAGGTGCACCTATCCTGCGGTGCATTACAGTAATCAGCCGTAATTCTTTTTTTTTAGAGAATTTAAAGATGCTCCTGTGGAACCAACTACGCTGTCACTCTCACGAAGAACAGTTGTTACTCTGACAAATGCTGCTGCTCGCTTGTTGCTGCTGTGAATCTGCTGTTATTCTAGCACTCACACGAATCTAAAGTCCCAGGAAAACTACTTTTGATCGGCGAGACACATTGAGAAATAATTTGGCGAATCGAGAACATATCGATTGATCGAATCGACTACCGTTGCAAGTTTTTATATTACTATACTATACAGGAATATTTTGTTTTATTTCAAACTTCAAGTGCACATTCACTGTAGAATTCATTAAAAACTAATTTTATTTAGAGCAATCAATGACAATGAGTAGTACACTATTTATGACAGTAAATTTTCTGATCATCGATTCAAAGTCTTTGCCGTAGTATGCCTTTTGGAAAATGGAATACACATTGTACAACATTGCAAACTGATATTTATTTATATTCAATATAAAGATTACCATAAGAATATCACTGAAAGTTGAGGAAAAGTTTAACATTACATGTTACAATGCGCATATATGCTAGCATTAACTTTTTGAAGTATTTTTCGTTTAGTTTGAAAAGCTAAGATGATATAACGTGGTTTTATCAATGAATTTACAGTTTTGACTATCCATACATAACTTGTGTTTACAAGTAGCATTGGATATTCATATAATTCTCAACTACGAAAACTCGTTGAAATGTTTCTTTCTCTTTTCCGAAAATCAAGAAAACGAATTTTTTTAGTACTCGATGCAGTAACGTAGGCATAAGCTATTCGATGCGCGTTATACTGACTAGAAGTTTTCGATGATTGTTTCTAATTCCACCAATTTTGTTATTTGGATAAGGACATTTAAATCACTGCTCAATCACGTGAGAATTAATTTCTGTTTCATATTTACCAATACTTTGCGATAATCTTCAGCAAAACCGAGAATGAAGTTTAAAGGAATAGTGACATCGAAATATCCTTCCTCGTTGATTATTTTCTGATCATTTTCTGTTATCCATCTGGCATTTTTGGCAATCCAATTTTGACTTGGATTAAGTGATAGCCAATTTTTCATAATAGTTGTTGGACCAACGATTTTACATTTATCGATTTCTGTCGCATTAGCTCTTACCTAATTTTCTCAAACAAATGACAGATGGCGTTGTTCACAAATAGAGTATTCGTTAAAATTGCATTTTCTTCGTCGCACAATCTACCACAAATACGAAATGAGCTACGAGATGGTAATAGACATAAGTCTTCATGTTCGATTGATATGTAAATTTCATCGCTATTTTTGAAATATGTATTGATGTACCGTTAATGAATATACTTCTCATGTTAAGCCAAGGATTATTCATCAGAGGCGACAGGTGACTGTATTTTAGTATAGCAGCAAAAAAAATGCAAGTTACTTCCCCAAAGTCGGAGCAATTTTAACTCAACGTTGATTGTTTTTTTCAATTGTGAAGGTGTTATGCACCACGAACGTGTATCGATAGGTCAGATAATAAAGAATATTACGTTCAAATTTTAAAACATTTGCATGAAGCAATAAGAACAAAATACCCGAACTTCTGATCAAGTGGTAATGGCTTCTCTATCACCATAATGCGCCAGCGCATTCATCGAATCTTGTGTAGAAGTTTCTGAGTAAACACAGTATTTCATTGTTTCTGCAACCTCCGTACAGCTCCGACATAGCCTCCTGTGACTTTTGGCAGTTTCCAAAACTCAAACAACTACTCAAAGGACATCGATTCGATGACAAAACGACCGTTGAAAATAATGCGACGAGCGTTATAATTAGGCCGTTCCTAAAAGTGAGTTCCAGGACTGTTTTGAGAAGTGAAACTTTCGCTGGAACGATGTTATTCGAAGAAGTGAGAATCGTTTGAAGGATGACACCTACCCAATGATGAAGAATAACTTCAGCATAAAGATATAAAGGTGGGCCCGATACTTTCCGAAGAGACGTCGCATATATAAATTTATTAGGAGGGGGAAGCCGGAGGTGATTGGTAATGGTTCGATAAAAGAGGAAATCAGCTAGCTCACACATTGATCTTAAAATGTCAGAGGAAGCTACGAGTGCTGAATTAAAAACGCATGGAGTTCAGATCACGCATGATCTAAGAATGTTGATTTAAAATTTACTCGAACATCAGATTATGCGGTGTACTGATACCCCCAATAATTTTATTTTCTTCTCATCTTAGGCTTTTCTAGTTTACCTACTGTTATGAACCAGTACCTACGCTGTCAAACATCGTGGCGCAACGCCATTATGACGCGGGACATATTTAACGTTAATAAGTAATCTTGTAATAGAAATATTCAGGCTGCATATAATTTTTCTTCAAAATGACTTTCTCTGTTACAGAATATAATCTTATATTTTTTACCCTTATGCACTGGATATTTTTATTTTGAATTAGTTTCAAAGGTAAATATATTATAATATTAATATTTCATAAATTGAATTTGATACATAATGATTAAAGGTTTACAAAAATCTTATGAAAATTCCAATAATTTATGATATTTACGGTACCGTTTTTATCATTTTATTAAGACGGGTGCCATAAATTTTTCCTCTACCAGCCGATCCAGTCTGAACAAGGTATGTGTCCTGCACAGTATGTTTTACGGAATTTTTTATTGACTTCTATGGTTAACTTCAAAAAATTCAATTACACAATTTGATTCGTAGAAATGAATGTTTATTGATAAATTTGATACTTCTTCATAAAATTTCTTCATATGAAATTCTATTTGATATCCTATATATTATTTTAGTTGAAAAGTTACATATAGAAATTTAGTAAATTAGCTATACGTATGTTACGAAATTCTATATTACTAGCTCAAAATTATTACGGCGCTGGATATTAAGTATTATTTCAGTTAAACTTGCTTTTTGCCGGTACGCTATTCTAATATTTGGTATGTCATGTATCACAGTAATTTTCACTACAACCTTGTCTGTTAATTTTAAAAGTAAAGTATTTCAGTGTATTATAAACAAACTTACCGTAGGGTGTTTCCTTTTTTTCCATTTTATTTTTTGATGATGAAGACAAAGATGATTCAGTACTGCTTGTGATAGGTTCTAATGTTTGTTCCTGTCGCAAAGAACAATCTGGTCCACTCCACCCAATATCGCAGTAACATCTATTAAGGTTGTTGCATATCTGTAAATAATCATTGTGAGAAAAGTTCACATATATGTTTTAAATAAATGTTGAATTTAAGACTAAAGTGCATCAGTTGCGGTTCATTTTAATTTGGGCACATATATAATAATAAATTTTTTAATTCTTTATACTCAATAAAAAAACTGCAGCGATAAGTATTGTCAATTTTTAGTATGTACACCTCTATTGAACCTTTTACTCATCATAAGCTATAATATTGATGCATAAGCTTCAAGCAGGCGTGTATCTCTCAATCTGATTTGATGCATATGCGCTTGTATGAGTATAGCTTTTGGGAATATTTACTGTTTTATAATTTTCATAAGTTATCTTGAATCACTTTTATTTCAATGAATAATCAGTTAAATTCTAGCTACCTATAATAGATCAAAGAATTATTTATATAAATACGGGTACTCCATCGTATACTATAATATTATAGAAGAAATATAACTTCTATATTATAGCGCCAACGTAATTGAAAATATATCAACTATATAGATATAAAATATGGTTATCACCGGTAATCAAACGAATGTGTACAAATTGACAACGTATAAAAATGAAAAATTGTGGCTTAAACACATATACTAAAACAATGACTAAGGGCTATGCAATCTCTTAGCTGCAGCGGCCATTATTAGAGGCTAAACGTTGCACAGCGATTTTATTTACCGCACACAACTACTGCAGTGATTGTTTCCAACGGTCACATGCAAAAGCACGCCTGCAATATCCCAGCCAAATAGAAACACGCATCCAGCAGCATCAACGAAAAACACGGTTAGCTTATCTGTCTCTTTCTCCCTTTCTCATGCACATTTTCATGGCGCAAAAACTGTAAGTGTCGAAGTAAATAAATGTCGAGTATTTCTATATTATCCAATATATATGTGTTACCCTCCATGTTTTTGAAAAAATTGAAATTTTGTAGATTCTACAATCTTTTCGGATAAATTAGGAAATGAAAAATAATTAATCTACCATTAATATTTATATTCCAACGTTCCAGCCATTAAATAGTAATCTTATTCAGAAAAATCTTTATTAAAACAATATAATTCAAATTACATGATAATATTTTTTTCTAATATTATAATGATTGTTCGTACTATTGCTTAAATATAAGAGTTTGTCAATAAGTCCTTAAAAAAAGATAGAATAACTATTTTTTTTCGATAAAATTTAGTTCGTATAAATATCGGACTAGTTTGGGTATTTTTTTTCAATCTACATAACTATAAGTTTTGACTTAGTCAGGAATTCTATATCATTACCGTGGCAGCCCTACATTATTTCAAAAAAGAATAACTTTTGGTTGAGACCCGAAAGACTTAAATCGGATAAAAATTACGATCTGCAGCGATTTTTGTCTAATTTTTAGCACTATGCGACACCAACCGAGGCTCAACCACCACACGGTATTTTTCATTTTTAAAATCAGATATGGTGAAGCCAAAAAATAAACCAAATCACACAATATTTTATATGCAAGGGTCGCTGAATTCATTCACTTTTCGGTTATACTTGTGATTCCGTTGCCAAGTTTAGATTCAGAGATTCAAAAAACTAAAGTATCCCAAATTTCATTCAAATTGATTTGAAAACAATTATTTGATTTGATCATATAATACAACGACAGAATGGGCCCGACTTTTTTGTGATCATATATGATACAGTACCATTTAACTGGTAACAATTTGACCCCTTAAAAAAACTAAAAGATTATTTTTTACAGTTATTGATATGATAAATCATGACTATGATAACGTGTGTCATCACTAATACACATTTTTTTGCAGTAATATATGTTTTGTAAATAAATGGAAATACCCACCTTTGAAAAAGTAATGAATGTTAAACATGTTAAGCAATATAACAATAAGAAATGAAGAAGAAAATAAGAGCGCGTTTATTTTCCTATATAAAAAGTGATGGCTTACTGAGTAAATTCATTTTTTAATTATCTGAAAGTAATGATACGAGTCATTCTCATGAATAAATCGGCACTAAATAATAGACTGAGGCCTTTTGCATCAATTTATACTTAATTAGTTAAAGAAATTCAAGTAAGTAGAATAATTTGCAGACATTAAGAAGAAATAACACCCACATTCTTCAATGTTTTTTCAAATTCTAAAGTTTGGCTTTGAATAAACATCAATAATGAAGAGAACTATAAATTAATATTTAATATGAAATATTGTGAATTGATTTTGGTGCATATGTCATTGTTATTCTATTTTAAAACATTGTAAAACTTAATTTATACATAAATATAGTCTTCAAATGATCACAAATGAACAATTGATAAACCATTAACAAACAGTCCAATTAAGAAACTTAAATTGTTAGGCGCAACTGACGGTTCTATTTATTTAACAAAAGAAAAAGAAAACCTAACTTGCTGTACTCATCAGTATCTATGTAGTTAAATATCTAAAAATTGGATAAAATCAGTGACATACGTCATTTTATTTAAAATTATTGAGTATTGGAGAAATATTAATGCAATTAGGAATTAATTTACAAATTAATATGGACGTATGGTAAGCGTTTTTAAGCATTTAATTTTGTGTATATATTGAGTAGTTTAGAATTTGTTTATTTTGCCTTCAATAGTTTTAATTTTATTTAAGTATAAAACTCAATTTTACTCCATAATAACAGGAAAAGAGCGTGCGAAGCAGCTTGCCGACACTATTCAAGTACAAAATGCCTGCAGGAAATTGGTCTCAAGAAGAATCGTAATCACACAAAACTTTTCTTCATGTGCTCCACAATTTTTCCATTTAGAATTATATTTCTGATTATATTTTTTATTTTTTAAATTAACAAAACTATTTACTTTAAAACAGAACAAGCACAATCTTTTACGATTATCTTCATGACTCAAGGCGTTTGTAGACATTTTGAATATATTATAATATTGCATTTAATATGAAATTGACTTGAATTCTTCAAAATGAAAACAGTAAATGAAATGTAAATATACCAATTGTAAATTAGTTCTTTTTTTGTTCTAAAAAATTGTAAAAGGTTAAGATTTATTTACATTGAAAATTGTTTACATATGTTGTGTACATGTGGCATTTAGACATGGCTATATCTATACTTCAGCCAGTGCGTGTATACGTTCTCATGATAATTATTTGCAACGAATAATCTTAAACATAAAATTATGAGTTTGAACTAAAAAATTTCGCTTTTTCTTTTCTTTTCCAAAAAAAGAAGGCATGGATTATTGTAATCATGTTCTTAATTATGATCTCAAAATACTAGTTTTTCATGCTAAAAAACATCCCAATAAAAAAATCTTGGTTGTTTTGAATTTGTATAATGAGTTAGTTAAGGTTCACCGTGTAGCATCAGAATATATTTCTAAATTTTCTAATTTTTGTCTATAAATTAAACCTAGCTCAGATGTACTGTTAAGATATCTAAAGATTCACTCAACGTCTATTAGGTCTTCAAATAAAAAATTTAATTGTTTTTTGGCTCATTGAAAATTAAATGTTTGGCCGAGTTACATTAGCTATGTACATAAGGCTAAGTACATAAGGTTTCCAATTGCTTCTATATTTGGAAATTCTAACTTCTTCTGGCTTCCTAATTTTTTTAATTTCTAACGTTTCTAGATTTGACTTGTTTAGTTAACATAGATGTGTTATGAAGTTTACAGTCGTACATGTATAATTTCTTTAATAAACTCTTAGTATATTTGTGCTGTCTATGCTCAGTTATTTCGCTTTCTCTATGTCTAGTGATTTAAATACGTAAATATTTTCTAGGTTTATCTAAGATTATCTTGAACACTGAACTTAAATGTTTCTTAATTTCATTTTTGTCAAAGTTATATTCTTCTAACAAAATATCGTTTACATATAAAATCAACATAATTATAGTGTCAGACTTTCTATATATGAATAAACATGATTCCTTTATGTCTGTCTGCAATTGTAGCTCTTTTACTTCTATAGAGAAATGTTGATAGCACTTCATAGGATTTATTTTTAGTCCATAGAAAGCTTTCTTCAATTTGCAAACTTTCTCTTTTCTAGTCAATTTACCTACTTTTAATTCTTCTGGGTTTTTCATGTAAATCTCTTCTTCCAGTTATTTATTTAGAAAAGCTGTTTTCATGTCTAACTGGAAAACTTCAAAGTCTAATTTGTTTATGATAGCAAACACTGCTCCAATGATTGCTAATCTCGATATAGATGCATATGTTTTTCTAAGTTCATATTCATTTGTATCTTTGAATTCTCTAAATACGAGGTGTGTTCAAAAAGTAAGGTGACTTTGTATTTTTAAGAAAAAATATTTATTTATTTATCAATATTTATGTTGTCTCCTTCAAAGTAATCCTCCTCAGATACAGTACACTTATGCCAACGGTTTTTCCAATCCTCAAAGCACTTCTCATAAGCACTTTTCGGTATAGCCTTGAGCTCTTCCAGCGATGCAGTCTTTATCTCTTCAATCGTTGCAAATCTCCGTCCTATCATAGGTCTCTTTAGTTTTGGAAACAAGGAAAAGTCACATGGGGCCAAATCCGGTGAATATGGTGGCTGAGGCATGATTGTGGTCTTGTTTTTGGCCAAAAAATCTCTCACAAGCAAAGATGAGTAATCGAAGAAAACAGTGAGCAAAACTTTGACATTCGATCGAACTTGGCGTGCTTTTTTCGGTCTTGGCTCATCTGGACTCTTCCATTGGGATCCACTGGACTTTGGTTTCGATATCATAACCATATACCCATGATTCGTCACCAGTTATGACCCTTTTGAGTAAATCTGGGTCGTCGTTGACGTCATTCAACAGTTCTTGAGCGATGCTCATGCGACGGTACTTTTGGTCAAAATTTAGCAATTTCGGAACAAACTTCGCTGACATACGTCTCATGCCCGAAACGTTAGAAAAAATTTCATGGCACGAGCCAAGCGATATCCCAACAGCCTCAGCAACTTTTCTGATAGTGGTTCGACGATTTTTCA